CCCCGGAGCTGGGCCCTGGTCCAGAGCAGAGCAGACCCCGTGGGAGTCAGGGTGGGAAGAGCCAGGTGGGGTTGTGGGAGCCCCAGGACTCCCAGGACACAGGATAGATAGGAGACCCAGGCCTGGGGGGGCTGGAAGTGGTGGGGACAGACTCCTGAAAGCAGGTGGCAGGACATTCAGCCTGCTGGGCCTAGCACCTGCCCTCCTGTGGCTCCCCTTGGTGGGAAGTATGTCTCTGGCCCCCCACTGCCAGCTAGGTCCTCGCTCTGCAGCCTGGGGGACCAGGGTCCTCACCCATCTCAGGGCCCTCACCCAACTCAGGGCCCTCCCTCTCCTGTGTCCCCGGCTCCTGTCAGCGCCCGGAGTCCACTCTGGTTTTCCAGACTTGCTGGGCTGGGTGTTCTCTGAAAGTATTGGAGTGGTGGGGGGTGTTAATCCCAAGGGGTGACTGGAGGTCCTTAGGAGTTCGGGGTGAGTGCTCGCCTTGGCTCTTTGACCCCAGCCTCTCCTTCCGTCTGCCCACCTTTGTTTGCAGGAGGACAGTAGCAATTCAAAGGAGGGCACTTCTGTCTGAGTCTCCTCTGCGGGAAGAGAAGTTACTGTTCAACTTACCAAAATGCCTTACACATTCCTTACAGATAAATAAACCAACCAACAGCGTTATCCAGGCCCAACTTCCAGTAGCTCTGAGAGAAGCCATTAGAGACGAGAGTCTCTTAGAATCACAGAAATAGATCTTCCAGACCCCTGTTTATAAAAGAACCTTTATCACGTTTGATAAACACTATTCCCCAGGACCAGGCCTGGACCACCACCGAGCAGACGCCAAAGCCCTTATCAGCTCCGTGACAGACCCCAGGGTGTGAGCTGGGGAGGCTGGGGCCTCTGGGGACCCGTGTGTCAATCAGTGCAATTGTTTTCTCTCACTGGGCTGGGGGCTGGGAGGCGGGCGGGGCCGGGTGGGGAGCCTGAAAGGCTGTGGGACAGACTGGAGGGTCACAGCCCGGCCCAGCGAGGCAGCAGCCCCTCAGCCCTGGGAGAAGTTGCCAGCAAGAACTGATGTATGACCTCCGGATGTTAATGCCATTAAAACCAACGTTGCCCGGCACTTCGGTCTCGTCTGGTCTGCTGGGGCTCCCTGGCCTGGCCGCTGGGCCCCGGATGAGGAATAAAGAGGGGCTGTCTCCCTCAGGGGAAGAACAAGCATGCTGTTTGGTTCCCCTGAAATCAGATTTGTAGCTGTCTTGGGGCTCCCCCAGCACTTCTCCCGGTCATGGCACCCAGTGGCCAGATGTGCTGACCGCTGCCCCCACCCTTCAGAATCGGAGGCTACCTAAGCAGGCCATGGGTGGCCTAGGCTGTTGTCTGGGGTGAGCTCTGTGAACGAGCAAGGGAATCTGTGTCCTGACTGAGGCTTGGACACTCCTCTGTGCCTCAGGGGTGTGGTCAGGAGCTGGAGCAGCCAGCCCAGACTTGCCAAGATCCTAAGACCCACTGTGTCTGGTGGCTGGAGGCAGCATGGTCTTGGAGGAAGCAGTGGGAATCGAGCTTGAGCAACACCTGGATTGGAGGGGTCGGGTCCCAGGATGGGTGGGACCAAGCCAGGAGCAAGCAGGTGAATCTGAGCAGCCTGGGGCTTGGTAGCCAGCATCAACCAGTCCTGTTAAGGGGTTGCCTCGAGCAAGCACTGTCCCCTTTCATCACCCTCCTGAGCCTCAGGCCTGTGACAGGAGTTGGATTGGCTAGGGAGAGGGCACACACCCTCACAGCAGGTCCAGCACGATGGGGAGGGTGCCAAAGAAGGGCAATCCAAGAACTAGCCTCCACTGCCTGCTTTGGGACCTCCGTATGTCAGGAGTCAAACCCACCAGAGGGCACTTCTGTGGGTGGCCGTCACGGGAACCCTGAGACCCAGGCAGCATGTTCTCAAGCCGGCAGCCTCCGCACTGAGCAATCCTCCCGAGGCCAGGCAGTACTGCCTTCAATCTGCAGGACCCTGACCTGGTCCCAGCTCCTGTGGGCCACCTAATCATGCTATGTGGCACCTACGTATTGCAATGGTATTGGCATAAAGGATGCTGGGAGTTTGAGGAAGGCTCCCCAGAAAAGTGAGCTTAAGCTGGAGTTCACCAGAGCAGGAGATGTTTGTCAGGGGAGGGGAGAAAGGCCCAAGGCCAAGGGGACGGCAGGTGCAGGGACAGGAAGTGAGGTCGAGGGGGCCTTGTAGAGCCAGGTTACAAAGGACAAGGTGTCCGGACAGGTAAGGCAGTAGGGGCTGTGAGATTTTTAAGCAAGAGGAGACCATCCTACCTGTCCTAGAACTCTGGAGGGGGCTTACGTGGAAAGAGGAAGCCCATGCTTTCTGGCAGGAGACTGAACAGAAGTGACTGGTAATACCTGATGCTGACCACATGCCCAGCCCTGCCCTTGGGTCTCACGTGAAACTTTTCAGAACCCATGGGCGGTATACCGCCCGCCCCCCCGTCCCCGCCCCGCCCCGCCATTTTACAAAGAATCCCCACAGAAGGGAAAGCTCACCTGGTAAAAGGCAAGGCAGGTTTTAAACCCACCTTATTGTCAGTGCAGCACGCAGCCTGGAGGGCCAGCTGGAGAAGAGTTGTGGAGTCCATGGACCCCATGAACAGTGGCCACTGAACACCCCCCAAACCTGTGGTCCCTCACTGTACCTTCCATGTCCCCTGTGCACGAGGAGCAGGGATTCTGTGCTGGAGGACTGGCCCTATGGGGGGAGTCACAACCCTCCTCCTGCTGACACGGTGGCCTTAAGGCAAGTGGTTTGGGGCCCTGGTCAGTCTCCTGTTGGAAAACTGAGGCCAGACTTGGCCCTGCGCCAGGACGCCCGCCTCAGAGTTGTCACCAGGCCCTGTGAGCCTACATTTCTAGTAAGTTCCATCCCCTTGCCATGCTGCAGAATTGAGAACCCCTATGCGGGGCAGATGCCCTCTGAAGGCACAGGAACGGGGGGGCTCTGGGGCAAGAAAGGCACAGAGAGAGACCTGGGGGTACCAAACTGCCGCCTTCGGGTATTACAGGGCAGCAGCTGCTCCCTGGGTTCTGGCTCCAGCCCTACCCCCTGCTCAAACCACGTGGTAAGAGGCCCAGTGTCCACCGGCTAAGAGGAGGTAAAACAAAGGCAGGGTGTGGGGCTCCTGGGGGCTCTGAAAATGCCACGTCGGAGACTACCTGCCACTCAGGCTTTAAGGGCCCATCGTCAGTCTTCCGCTCCACACGCCCCAGCAAATGTGCCATGCAGCGCTGAGGCCTGGCAGAAGGGAACCCAAGTTCGCCAAGCAGCCTGATAGGGTTTGCCTCTGCCTGGCCTCCTCGCCAGGGCTGTTCCTGGGCAAGCTTCCATCACCAGGCTGGGGAAGGAAGAAAGAGCCATTCAGGAAAATAACAGAGACAGCCACCCTTGGTAGATGCTAGAACAGGAGGCTGATAGGCACCTGGTGTTTGTCAACATGGCACAGATGCCCTGAAAGCCTGGCTCATCGGCCCGGCCATTCCTAGCTGTGCGTCCTGCAAATGGAGTACCGGTGCAGCACAGGACAACCGGCTCTTGCAGTCGCTTGCTAAGTTCAATGTGGAGGCAGGAGTCACCCGGGCTCGGTTAGAGCACTGGCTGGACCGCCAGCCTGCTGACAAGAAGCCATGCTCTCCCCTAGGTCAGGCTTTGCAGAGGCCCACAGCCGGGGCTCAGCACTGCC